TCTAGGAAGTCAGTCGACAGATATACTCCCACATATGCAAAATGATGCACAAAGTTGTTTGCTGCAGTCTTGTTTATAAAAACCAAAGACTAGAAAACTACCATTGTGCCCATTAGCAGAGGCCTAGTTAAGTGAATTCAATACATTCAAGCAACTGAATACCCCGCAGACGTAAAAAAAGAATAAGGATGCTCTTCTGTACTAGCACAGACCCACCTCCAAGATACAAAAAGCACAAGGCAGATCAGGACAGATCAGTATATACTATAAGTACTATCCGTGTTTTTGAAAAACTAGGAGAGAAACAGAAACACATCTGTTTGTATATGCATACGACACCTTGAATGGAAGCAGAAGAAGTATATTTTCAACATATATCCTGTTGTACAATTTGAAAATTTCTACCACGTGAACTCATATTACCTTTTCAAAAACTTTAAAAATTTAGGGGCGGCCAGTAAGCTCAGTTGGTTAGAGCGCAGTGCTCATAACACCAAGGTTGCCAGTTCAATCCCCACATGGGCCACTGAGCTGCGCCCTCCACACTAGATTGAAACAACTATTTGACTTGGAGCAGATGGATCCTGGAAAAACACACTGTTCCCCAATTAAAAAAAAAAATCTTAAAAAAGAAAGAAACTGAGCTTACATACTTTGTGTATTTCTCAGTTAAGAACACCTAACTGTCTATAGCAAATAAAACAAAAGGGTATGTTATGCGCTTATTGGATGACTAAAAATCTTTTACTACCTGATGTGCCCTCATTATCAGGAAGAGGAAAAACACTGTATCCTGACTGAGGAGCACAAAAGCTTTGCCACACTCCATCAGCGCCATGTCTTCTGAGACACCTCAGTCGGAAATCACAGCTTCTTCCTCCTTTTGTCCGCTCCACGTACTCCTTTTACTTGGTCCTGTCTCTCCTTGGAATGCCACAGCTAGATTACAAAGTGCTTGCTCCTCTCCTCCTCAGCACTGCTCACCAGCAGAAATGGTTCTTCACATCTTATAGGCCCAGAGAGGCCTAAGCAACCTGACCAATGTCCCGAAAGCTACAAAGTGTCAGGGTCAGAATTGGAACTCGGGACCTCGGATCCCTAGTTCAGGGCTCTTTTCACTACATCATTTGGACTCCTTTGCTGGTGGGAAAAAGAAGAGCTCTAGGAGAAGACAGTAATAAAATGGCCAGGGCACTGGGTTGAGCACTAGATATAAATGATTCCATTTAAGCCCCACAACACTTAAGTTCTCTCATCACGCACATGATATGGATGAGAAGCAGCGTTTCTGAGAGGGTAGATAATGGTAAGCTCTCACACCCAACCAACGGCAGCATGGAAACTCCAACCAGATCTCATCCACGTGCCAACCTGCCTCCCAAGGAAGCTCACTAGCCCTTAATCTGCAAACCAGTGTAACAGTTTTCCTCCAATAGCCAGTTATTTGAACCACCATAAAGAACCTCTTATCTGAGTCCATGTCTCCCAAACTGCACCATGAATCCGGAGGGAGGTGAGATAATCTCAGGTGACACAGGTATGAATGTTTTTAACTTGATCAATTATGGTTTTGATACGTATTAGAAAAACATATAACTAACTTATCAAACCCATTATTTCAGATGTCTTAGCACAGAATGAAGCCAAATAGAAAGTGAACAGATTTAAGAAAAATTACTAAACAAATAAGTTCAGGTGGTTCAGATAAGATACAGTGAAAACCAGGAAGAACAACAAACTGACATTTGAGAATTGCTGGTCTAAGGAACTGGATTCATCCTATGGTTTTTCTCTAGAGGAAGAGATGCTGGGGAATAATGGGTGCCCCACCACCCCAGCATACAACACACACTAGTTCTGAATGTCACTTTATTTTTGTTCATTTTATTTGTATCTGCCTTGCTCTCTCCACAACAAACTGGCTCTCTCAGATGGATGAGGCAGGACCCCAGTTACCAAAGCACCCGGAATGAAAACTTGCATTTAAACGGCAGTGTCTTGTGGTGGCTTCACCTTGGGTTGCCCACTGGCCTAGTGTGCCCTGAACAGCTCTAATCACACCTACAGTTGATAAATTAATACCAAATAATTATTTTGAGCACCTTTCCCCCTCCATTTAAGAAGTATCTGACGTGGGGAATAACTTAGAGGGCCTCCCTATTATCCTATCACCTGCTCCAGTGCAGAGCTAACTGGGAGAGAGCTATGGGCCCCTCGCTAGCCCTGTTCCTCCCCATACTACAGAAACAATGAGAAGGGACCCCCACCCCCATCTTCCCAGCACCCGCAGTCAGGGCCACACCATCTGGTAATCTTGCCTCTGCTCTTGCCCAACCTCCTTTCCCCCACCCCACTCCTCCCAAAATGCCCACTAAAGGTAAATGGCAGGTCCAAATGAACGCAGAATTCTATTAGATGTGCAATACCAACAGCTCTGTGCTTTGAACAAACGAAAGAAAATATTAATTCACGAAAAGAGAACTGTGAAAAAATAACATGCATGAGGGCATCACAGCTCCCAAAATGCTTCAGTAGGCAGGATCCTCTTTGATTCTCCCAAAAAAGCTGTGAGGAAGTTCATCATCTGCCTTTTTGTGTTGTAGAGATGAGGAAACAGGCTCTGAGATTTACCAAGCTCTGACATTCCAAATCCTGAACCCCTCCACTCTAGAGCTGTATGGAGGAAAGATGTTTTCTTTTTTTTTTTTTTTTTTAGGGTTGTGCTGCTCTTGCTGTCCTCCCCAAACCAGGAGCATCTGGTCCCCAGAGAGATTGCTAGGAATGCAAAACTTCAGCCCCCAGTCCAGC